GATGTTAGCGGAGAACGACAGGGTGTTGTCCAGGGTCACGCCAAGGCTCTTCGCACTCTGGGAGGAGGACACAACGGAGTTGTCAACCGTGATGGCGAGATCATGGAACGGGCAGTCCTTCCCCGGGAGGAAGAGCAGCTCCGTCTTGCCAGGGTTCAGCTTGAGGTGGTGATCCGTCATCCATACTGATATGTCGGCCAGACATGCAGAGATGCGATTCGCCACCTGGTTATCAGAAGGGGGAAAGGAGAAGATTAGTTGTGTATGTCAGCGTAGCAATGATAGGAGAGGCCATGTGAGGATATGACAGAGCCAAGTGACTTGGTGTATAGGGAGAAAAGGAGAGGGCCTAGAACTGAGCCCTGGGGGACACCAGTGGTGAGAGCACGTGGTGCGGAGACAGCTTCTCGCCACGCCACTTGGTAGGAGCGACCGGTCAGGTAGGACGCAATCCAGGAGTGAGCCGCGCCGGAGATGCCCAGCTCGGAGAGGGTGGAGAGGAGGATCTGATGGTTCACTGTATCAAAGGCAGCAGACAGGTCTAGAAGGACAAGAGCAGAGGAGAGAGAGTTAGCTTTAGCAGTGCGGAGAGCCTCCGTGACACAGAAAAGAGCAGTCTCAGTTGAATGACCAGTCCTGAAACCTGACTGGTTTGGATCAAGAAGGTCATTCTGAGAGAGATAGCAAGAGAGTTGGCTAAAGACGGCACGCTCAATAGTTTTGGAAAGAAAAGAAAGAAGGGATACTGGTCTGTAGTTGTTGACATCAGTGGGATCGAGTGTTGGTTTTTTGAGAAGGGGTGCAACTCTCGCTCTCTTGAAGACGGAAGGGACATGGCCAGCGGTCAAGGATGAGTTGATCAGCGAGGTGAGGTAGGGGAGAAGGTCACCGGAGATGGTCTGGAGAAGAGAGGAGGGGATGGGGTCAAGCGGGCAGGTTGTTGGGCGGCCTGCAGTCACTAGTCGCAAGATTTTATCTGGAGAGAGAGGGGAGAAAGAAGTCAAAGCATAGGGTAGGGCAGTGTGAGCAGGACCAGCAGTGTCATTAGACTTAACAAACGAGGATCGGATGTCGTCAACCTTCTTTTCAAAGTGGTTGACAAAGGCTGTTATCTGACTCATTGGCTGCAGGGTCTCTCTAACATGCAGGCTGTTATCTGACTCCTTGGCTGCAGGGTCCCTCTAACATGCAGGTTGTTATCTGACTCCTTGGCTGCAGGGTCTCTCTAACATGCAGGTTGTTAGGCTGTTATCTGACTCCTTGGCTGCAGGGTCTCTCTAACATGCAGGCTGTTATCTGACTCCTTGGCTGCAGGGTCTCTCTAACATGCAGGCTGTTATCTGACTCCTTGGCTGCAGGGTCTCTCTAACATGCAGGCTGTTATCTGACTCCTTGGCTGCAGGGTCCCTCTGTAACATGCAGGCTGTTATCTGACTCCTTGGCTGCAGGGTCTCGCTAACATGCATGTTGTTAGGCTGTTATCTGACTCCTTGGCTGCAGGGTCTCTCTAACATGCAGGTTGTTATCTGACTCCTTGGCTGCAGGGTCTCTCTAACATGCAGGTTGTTAGGCTGTTATCTGACTCCTTGGCTGCAGGGTCCCTCTAACATGCAGGTTGTTATCTGACTCCTTGGCTGCAGGGTCCCTCTAACATGCAGGCTGTTATCTGACTCCTTGGCTGCAGGGTCTCTCTAACATGCAGGCTGTTATCTGACTCCTTGGCTGCAGGGTCCCTCTAACATGCAGGTTGTTAGGCTGTTATCTGACTCCTTGGCTGCAGGGTCCCTCTAACACGCAGGTTGTTATCTGACTCCTTGGCTGCAGGGTCCCTCTAACATGCAGGCTGTTATCTGACTCCTTGGCTGCAGGTTCCCTCTAACATGCAGGTTGTTAGGCTGTTATCTGACTCCTTGGCTGCAGGGTCTCTCTAACATGCAGGTTGTTATCTGACTCCTTGGCTGCAGGGTCTCTCTGTTTATTTTCTCCTCTCTTTTCCAGGAGACCTTCAAAGGACAATGCTGTTGGCATGGCACACACACACACACATTTCTGAACCATAGTTGCTACATTAGGAAGGAAAGTTAACTACCGGTAACTAAGGTCAGACAATGCAGACCAGATTGAGCCTTAACATATTATATATTATAATATACTGAGTGGACAAAACATTAGGATAACCTTCCTAATATTGAGTTGCTCTGCCCTTTTTGCCCTCAGAACAGCCTCAATTCGTCGGGGGATGGACTCTACAAAGTGTTGAAAGCGTTCCACAGCGATGCTGGCCCATGTTGACTCCAATGCTTCCCACAGCTGTGTCAAGTTGACTGGATGTCCTTTGGGTGGTGGACCATTCTTGATACACACGGGAAACTGTTGAGCGTGAAAAACCCAGCAGCGTTGCAGTTCTTGACACACTCAAACCGGTGCGCCTGGCACCTACTCCCATACCCTGTTCAAAGGCACTTAAAATATTTTGTCTTGCCCATTCACCCTCTGAATGGCACATATACACAATCCCTGTCTCAAGGCTTGAAAATCTTTCTTTAACCTGTCTCCTCCCCTTCACCTACACTGATTGAAGTGGATTTAACAGTCGACATCAATAAGGGATCATAGCTTTCACCTGGATTCACATTTTCAGTCTATGTAATGGAAAGAGCAGGTGTTCCTAATGTTTTGTATACTCAGTGTATAAATATGTACTAATCATATGTTACGAAGAACACTTCCTTTGCATCCCTTTTATTCTAAATATCCTGCCCACAAGACACACCCACACAGTGTCAAAGTCAGTCAGAAAAATATTCCACAAGACACACCCACACAGTGTCAAAGTCAGTCAGAAAAAGATTCAAAAATAGTGTATGACCTTCAACCAAGTTCCTCAACAACAACAAACCCCTCCCTGCTATTATGGGGTCAACAAAGTCAGAGGAAGTCAGCTGGGCTGATTAGAGAGAAGAACATGAAACTGGAATAAAAAGCCCTGCCATGCGCCTGGTGTGCTGGCCAGCGGCCCCCTTTTGTCTGCTGGCAGTGTCGGGGTTAACTTCCCTAGTGCTGGGAGGCAGCCTGGGGTCAGGGCTTAGTTAGAGAAGAGGGCGAGCAGGCAGCGGCATTCTTTCTGTGTGTGTGTAGAGTGGAGAGCGAGAGAGAGCCCTCCAGTGTAGCTCCCTCTACAGCCCACTCTCTGCCTCTTTGACTCCAATGGCCTTATAAGGCAGGGAACGCCATGGCAACCAGAGGGCTTGAATAGCAGTTTCAAATCCCTGAGCACACAGACATATGCTCTCTCTCCTACTCACTCACTCACTGGGCAAAGGAGGGAGGGATAGACAGAAGTTCTATGAGGCAAGATAGCATAGATAGGAGAGAGATATTGAGAGAGAGATCCGCCAAGAAAAGGGGTTTTTTGGGGGGAAAAAAGGGGGAGGAGAAAAGAGGAAAAGGGGGGGGAAATTTTTGGGGGGGGGAGGGTGGAAGGAAGTTTTTTTGGGTGGAAAAGGGGGGAAAAAGGGGGGGAGGAAGGGGTGGGAAAAAGGGGGGGGGGGAAAGGGGGGCGAAAAAGGGGGGGGAAGGGGGGGGGAAAAAAAAAAAAAAGAGCCAAAACTTTTCTCCCCCAACTACTTTTTCCTTTACCTTTTTTTTTCTTTTTCCTTTTTTCCCCCAAAAGAAGGAGGGGAAAGGGGTGGGGAAAGGGTTTTAAAACCCCCCAAAAGGGAGAAAAAAGGGGGAGGGGGAAAAAAAAAAAAGGGGGGGGGGGGAAAGGGGAAAAAAGGGAAAAGGAAAGGAGGCAGAGAAAAGGGGGGAAAAAAAGGGAAGGGAAAAGGGGGGAAAAAAAAAGGAAAAAGGGGTAATAAAGGGGGGAAAAAAGGAAAAAAAGGGGGTTTAAAAATTTTTCTGGAAAAATTGGGGCTTTTTTTTCTCAATTTTTTCAGTTGGGGGGTTAATATTGAAAGATTATGGGGAAAGAAAACGGGTTTTTTTCCAAAAAAAAAGAAAGGGGCCCGGGGGTTAATTTGGGCAAACCCAAAGGGTTTTTTATCAAATTTTGGTTTTTTGCAAGTAATTTTTGCCAAAAATCCTTTTGTTTTAATCTTGAAAACAGCCATTAATTTATCCAAATTCAGTTTTTTTGCCTTTTATTTTGTCTCTTTTTGGGGGGGGGGGGAAATTTTTTCTCCAAACTATGAAAAAAAATGGTTTTGTTTGGGGGGAAACTTAAAAACTGGGCCCCTTTTTTTTGGGGTTTTGTTCCTAAAAAACAAAAAAATTAAATTTCCCCTTTTTAATACAATTTTTTTTCTAAAATTTCAAATTCTTTTAATTAAACACGACAAATGGTTCGGTTTTAATGGGTAAAATTTTGGGGCCCTTTAAAATTTAATTTCCCTTTTCACAGCCCCAGGTCTGATAGTTTGTAAGAGGTAAGTAATCCTACGGGTTTTTTTTTTTCTCGGGAAGGGACAGAGAGGAGAGCAAGAGGAGATAAGAGGAGGTGAGTGAGTGAGTGAGAGGGTGAGAGAAAGAGGGAGGGGGAGAGAGAGAGAGAGGGAGGGAGGGAGGGAGGGAGGGAGGGAGGGAGGGAGGGAGAGAGAGAAGAGAGAGAGAGAGAGAGCGAGGAGAGGAGAGAGGAGAGAGAGAGGAGGAGAGAGAGAGAGAGAGAGAGAGAGAGAGAGAGAGGGGAGAAGTAGAGCAGTGAGAGGTTGGAGAACTGAGCGACAGCAGAGAAATAGAGCAGTGGGAGGGACCTCCGGGTCATTTCACAGAGACAGAAGGGGAAAGAGGTCAACAGAGTGAGTCTGGAACACTTTGTGCAGTTTCAGTTGTTTTGACTTTTCACAACTCTATTACTTTCCTGGAAGTTAACTCAAAACCTTATTAAGTATGATTAGAAACTAAAGTGTTTTAGCTGAAGATTTTCAGCGAAAATAGTAGAGAACTTGGTGAGTGGACAGGAGTGTGTAAGAGAGCGTGTGTGTCGGCCGTTTGGCTCAGATATGGCCATGGTGAGCGGGGGATGGGGCAACCCTAACGGGGAGACCAACGGACTGGGTGGGGAGAAGGCTTACCTGCGTGGGGATGAGGAGGGCTCGCCCCAGGCCGGGAGTGATGTGGAGGTCGGAGACGAGGACAAAGCGTGCGTGGTGGACTGTGTGGTGTGTGGGGACAAGTCCAGTGGTAAACACTACGGCGTGTTCACCTGCGAGGGCTGCAAGAGCTTCTTCAAGAGGAGCATCAGAAGGAACCTCAACTACTCCTGCAGGTAGGCAGAGGTGGCACCACTGGTTCAAAAGCGGTGTGGCAAAATTTGTGCATGTCTTTTCTGGGGCCTGGAGTTTTCCTGATTGCATGAGCTGGTCATGTAAAACTCTGGGTCCTATTAGTAGGCTACGACAGGGTCCAACGTTAACCCAACCGGGTCAGTTGGCCAAAAATCTACTGACCCGAGCAGAATTTCTACTGTCCCGGACATTGTGTAGTTCTTAAATGGATTGGGGTCATGTAGGGCCTATGGGTTAGCATGCTTTCTCTCTATAGTCAGATATGAATAGGCTACTGTGATTATTGTGATAAGTATTAAAAAGCGGTTTAATATAATTTAGCAATGCAAGTTATTGTTCTATTCTTTAGAATTACATTGTATTTAATCACATTCATTTTTGTTTCTAAAGTATGTCATTTTGTGACGTTTTTTTTTTACATCTCAAAATAGGACGCTGTCCCTTTAAGACAATTGCATTCCAAAAGAGATACTGATCTCGATCTGGCTACAGTAGGCTAGCCAAGACCAATGCTAAAGATTTTTTATTTTTTTTGCAGACTATCAACAGTAGGCACCATATTGCTAGTACGTTCACTATTGAATGTTTACTTTGTAAATAACTTTCCCTAAAATAAATAAGCTCAGCGAGTAGATTGATGGGCACTTCTTTTTGTCCAGGCCAGCTCACCTGTACTGTGTGAACGTAGCTATGAATTACCAAAAGTATGTGGACACCTGCTCGGAGTTGGTCCCCCTTTGCTGCTATAACAGCCTCCACTCTTCTGGGAAGGCTTTCCACTATATGTTGGAACATTGCTGTGGGGACTTGCTTCCATTCAGCCACAAGAGCATTAGTGAGGTCGGCACTGACGTTGGGCGATTAGGCCTGGCTCGCAGTCGGCGTTCCTATTCATCCCAAAGGTGTTCGATGGCATTGAGGTCAGGGCTCTGTGCAGGTCAATCAAGTTCTTCCACACCGATCTCGACAAACAATTTCTGTATGGACCTCCTGGCATCCGCCAAACCCAGATTAGTCCGTCAGACTGCCAGATGGTGAAGCGTGATTCATCACTCCAGAGAACGCGTTTGCACTGCTCCAGAGTCCAATGGCGGCGAGCTTTACACAACTCCAGCTGACGCTTGGCATTGCGCACGGTGATCTTGGGCTTGTGTGCGGCTGCTCGGCCATGGAAACCCATTTCATGAAGCTCACGATGAACAGTTCTTGTGCTGACGTTGCTTCCAGAGGCAGTTTGGAACTCGGTAGTAAGTGTTGCAACCGAGGACAGATGATTTTCACCACTACGCGCTTCAGCGGTCCCGTTCTGTGAGCTTGTGTGGCTTACCACTTCGCGGCTGAGCCGTTGTTGCTCCTAGACGTTTCCACTTCACAATAACAGCACTTACAGTTGACAGGGGCAGCTCTAGCAGGGCAGAAATTTTACGAACTGACTTGTTGGCAGGTGGCATCCTATGATGGTGCCACGTTGAAAGTCACTGAGCTCTTTAGTAAGGCCATTCTACTGCCAATGTTTGTCTATGGAGATTGCATGGCTGTGCGCTCGATTTTATACACCTGTCAGCAACGGGTGTGGCTGAAATAGCCGAATCCACTAATTTGAAGGGGTGTCCACATACTTTTGTATATATAGAGTATTTCGTAGTGTACATTTTTTCAAGTTTAAGTTTCACTTATGCTAGCTAATGCAGCTAATTTAGCTTACTCAACAACCTGACTCAGAGGAATGATATTTATGTTAGCTAGCTGACTCTTCCAAGTCAAGGTAAGCTTTCGGTTTTATTAATTTATTGCCACCAGGGCCCGCTGGTGTAACTACTAAACTGCTTGCTGTGTACACTGTACAGCGTGATTGTACACATGGATTGGATTGTGGGTTTACTAACGCGTTAGTTCTAGTAGCTTTTGTTGACCATGACGTAACCTTCTGTGGCGACAGCGATTTAGGCTGTGTATAGCGGATAGCGGTTATGGTATAGAGGTTTGGCTTGGAGAGGTTTTTTCGCCTGGTCACAGACAGCTGTTATGTTGTGCACTGAAGTCCACAAGTGAAAGGAAAAATGTGAGAGGAGGAGAGCGCGTAGATGTGATGGTGCTGTATGTGGCTGCTATGAACGTGAACTGTGTGTGCGGGTGATCAGGGGTGTATTCATTTAGCCAATTCTGTAGCAAAATGTTTCTTAAACGGAAGCAAACGGAACGAAACGGCGAGGGACCTAACTGAATTCTCCCAGTAGAAACTCTCATTTTATGTTTGGACTAATGATTACACCCCAGATCAGTTAGATGCAGGCAAAAGTGTGCAAGGCGGTATTGAATGTGCCACTGTCTGTCACCTTAATTACCCCAATTTATCTCTCGAACTGTGCACCTACGTCGTAAACTTTTATTTGTAGGCTAGGTTGTAGCAACCTCATGATGGGTACACAGCGAAACGTACCATGTAGCATTGAGCCGGGTGAATGGAATATGAATGACAGTCATCCAATATGCTGTAAAATGAAACGGCACTGACCCCCACTGGCTGGGAGGGAAGGCACACACACTGTTTCTTACTTGAGGAAGCTCCATGCGAGGCAGGGGGAGAGACAGTGCAGGACACAGGTGGGCAGGTTGAAGATGGAACAGAGGCTGGGCTCCAGCGCTGTGGGACCTCCTCATGACAACCTCATGATGGGTATAGGGCAAATTCGAGTTTCAGTAGCCTAAACCTATCACTGTTACATTGAGCTGGGTGAATGGAATATGAACGACAGTCATCTGTAATAGGAATAAGACCATGCTCATCATTCTTTTTTTTCAATCTTAAAAGGCTCCAACCGCCACTGTTGCTCAAATTCAAATAGCACGATTTTTCTGCATGTAGTCTTCAATGGTTTCAATGGTAGACTGCGACAGAGCGGGTAAATGTTGAACTGGAGCATAAAAATGCGCTGAAAAGTTACTGGCCCAGTCAGTGCTGCTGCTTTGGAAGTGGTGTGGCCAGATTGAAAAGTACTGGGGCAAATGCTGTCTCGCCACACGTTTTCCGGTGGCTCTGCAGGTAGGTGCAGCCGCTCTGTATAGTCACAAGAAAATATGTTCATGTGAAAAACAATAACATATTTTAAAAAGGTAGTTTAGAAAATGTACAAGAACCACACAAGTTAATGTCAAAGGTTACTGTGTACATTAATGGATCCTATGAATTCGTATTCTACTCTTGGTGGTCATTTAAGTGATGCCCGAGAAGCCGGTGTTAGGAGGATATTTTGGCACAGGTGTTGTTAGGCCAGAGACAAATTCATAAATCTTTATGAATTTATTCATACTATTTCATCCTTCCACAAGATATAGTCCCGACACAAATCTAAGGTTGCTACCCAAGCCGGCTGGTCGTTCGTTGCCAGAGACGCGACCCAGTCGTTCAGTCTTTTTGTTCTGTATCTATGGACGCGACCCAGTTGTTCCCTTGCTTGCTAGCTAGCCAACTACGGCTAACTTACAGTCACATCAAAAAGTGCAGCCAGAATAACAGCAATTTGTTTAAGCTGTTTTCTTGTGACATTTATTTAGATATATCCATAACAATGAGCTAATGAGGCGCGATTTCGCCTGGCATAGAGAATGTGCTCACTTGTCAGGACACTGTTGTTCAGAGGAGCTAGACAACAACACAGCTAACACAATCACTTCAAACTGAAGATGGAAAGACTGCAAACTAGATGCACTTCATTTCATTTTACCTTTTATCAATTTACATTTCTTTGTATATATCCATAAAAATGATGCCAGCTGATTCATGATTTCGACTAGCTGAGAAAACGCTGCCTGCCTGTCTGTCTCGTCCCAACTCCCGACACGTTCATTACTATGGGACAGCTGGAGATCGAATTTGAATATTGAAACAATGTTGCAAATGTCGGAGAGACATACAGCAAGGTTTATACAAATGTCTAGATGCTTTTTATTGTGGAAATCAAGTTTATAAAGTGCCTGGATGAGCTGATGAGACAGTGGATTGCGCAGTCAGATGGTAACTTGTGGAATAGACACCGGCTGGAATGCGGTTTTAACCAATCAGCATTCAGGATTAGACCCAACCGTTGTATAAATCGTATGCACAGCATGCATATAGATCCTGTAACTTCTTATATCATATTTCCCTTGGGGATTCCACTCTGTATTAGGTTGTGTTACAGCTTTAACTCAGGTTTAGTTTTGAGATTTTCAGATGTACAGTGGCTTGCGAAAGTATTCACCCCCCTTGGCATTTTTCCTATTTTGTTGCCTTACAACCTGGAATTAAAAATTGATTTTTGGAGGGTTTGTATCATTTGATTTACACAACATGCCTACCACTTTGAAGAGGCAAAATATTTTTTCTTGTGAAACAAACAAGAAATAAGACGTGTGCATAACTATTCACCCTCCAAAGTCAATACTTTGTAGAGCCACCTTTTTCAGCAATTACAGCTGCAAGTCTCTTGGGGTATGTCTCTATCTGCTTAGCACATCTAGCCACTGGGATTTTTGCCCATTCTTCAAGGCAAAACTGCTCCAGCTCCTTCAAGTTGGATGGGTTCCGCTGGTGTACAGCAATCTTTAAGTCATACCACAGATTCTCAATTGGATTGAGGTCTGGGCTTTGACAAGGCCATTCCAAGACATTTAAATGTTTCCCCTTAAAACACTTGAGTGTTGCTTTAGCAGTATGCTTAGGGTCATTGTCCTGCTGGAAGGTGAACCTCCGTCCCAGTCTCAAATCTCTGGAAGACTGAAACAGGTTTCCCTCAAGAATTTCCCTGTATTTAGCACCATCCATCGTTCCTTCATTTCTGACCAGTTTCCCAGTCCCTGCCGATGGAAAAACATCCCCACAGCATGATGCTGCCACCACCATGCTTCACTGTGGGGATGGTGTTCTCGGAGTGATGAGAGGTGTTGGGTTTGCGCCAGACATAGCGTTTTCCTTGATGGCCAAAGAGCTCAATTTTAGTCTCATCTGACCAGAGTACCTTCTTCCATATGTTTGGGGAGTCTCCCACATGCCTTTTGGCGAACACCAAACGTGTTTGCTTATTTTTGTCTTTAAGCAATGGCTTTTTTTCTGGCCACTCTTCCGTAAAGCCCAGCTCTGTGGAGTGTACGGCTTAAAGTGGTCCTATGGACAGATACTCCAATCTCCGCTGTGGAGCTTTGCAGCTCCTTCAGGGTTATCTTTGGTCTCTTTGTTGCCTCTCTGATTAATGCCCTCCTTGCCTGGTCCCTGAGTTTTGGTGGGCGACCCTCTTGGCAGGTTTGTTGTGGTGCCATATTCTTTCCATTTTTTAATGATGGATTTAATGGTGCTCCGTGGGATGTTCAAAGTTTCTGATATTTTTTTATAACCCAACCCTGATCTGTACTTCTCCACAACTTTGTCCCTGACCTGTTTGGAGAGCTCCTTGGTCTTCATAGTGTCGCTTGCTTGGTGGTGCCCCTTGCTTAGTGGTGTTGCAGACTCTGAGGCCTTTCAGAACAGGTGTATATATACTGAGATCATGTGACAGATCACTTTACACTTAGATTGCACACAGGTGGACTTTATTTAACTAATTATGTGACTTCTGAAGGTAATTGGTTGCACCAGATCTTATTTAGGGGCTTCATAGCAAAGGGGGTGAATACATATGCACGCACCACTTTTCCGTTATTAATTTTTTATACTTTTTTTAAACAAGTTATTTTTTGCATTTCACTTCATCAATTTGGACTATTTTGTGTACCTCCATTACATGAGATCCCAAAAAAAATCCATTTAAATTACAGGTTGTAATGCAACAAAATAGGAAAAACGCCAAGGGGGATGAATTCTTTTGCAAGGCACTGTATGTCCCAAAAGATAGTAATTAATGAATTACCAAAACAGCCTTGCTTTGCTGTGTAAAGCCATGGTACCATTGGGCTACAGATTTCGCGCCAACCAGTATCTTCAAAAGCATTCAATGATCTCGGAGTCTCGGCATTTTAACTTTATGTTTATTGTGACATAGCATGATTCCCATGCAAGAACCTAGATAAATTGTGCCTCCTCACCAATTTCAACTGCCCCCTTAGTCACTTTATCCTGGCACCGGGTCTGATAGCTGTGTAGGCCTGTATAGCTGTGTAAGCCTATATAGCGATGTAGGCCTGTATAATCCTGGTTACCCAGAAGTAAAATTATCTTGAGAAAGTGTGTCATTTCAGGTTTTTCTTCTGGGTGGAATGTCCTGTATGAGTCACAACTTATGAAACAGATTGAGAGCATTGTAACTACTGTGTAGTCTGTACAGTAACAGGTCAATGGACAGAGAGAAGGGAAAGTTAACCATAGGAACGTTGTCATTTGTAAAAAAGGCGATATTCAATCCGAACTGGATAACAAGTAAGCGTAATTCTTCTCATGCAGCATGTTTGAGACAATGTGCAGTTGAGCTTATTTTCCCTTCACACTGTAAACAGAGTAAACACTGCAACCACCAGCTCCATGAATCTAAACATGCATTCTTACAGCACAAGACAAGTATTTGTTGACAGCACTGAAACCAGTTTGGCGGCTTTGACTGAATACAGCCCTTAGATAGTAAACAATAAACCAAGGCTCTTACAGTGAGGGGAAAAAGTAAGAATGCAATATTCAGTACTACTATACAGTGAGGGAAAAAAGTATTTGACCCCCTGCTGATTTTGTACGTTTGCCCACTGACAAAGACATGATCAGTCTATAATTTTAATGGTAGGTTTATTTGAACACTGAGAGACAGAATAACAACAACAAAATCCAGAAAAACGCATGTGAAATTTTTTATAAATTGATTTGCATTTTAATGAGGGAAATAAGTATTTGACCCCCTGCTGATTTTGTACGTTTGCCCACTGACAAAGACATGATCAGTCTATAATTTTAATGGTAGGTTTATTTGAACAGTGAGAGACAGAATCACAACAACAAAATCCAGAAAAACGCATGTGAAATTTTTTATAAATTGATTTGCATTTTAAATGAGGGAAATAAGTATTTGACCCCCTCTCAATCAGAAAGATTTCTGGCTCCCAGGTGTCTTTTATACAGGTAACGAGCTGAGATTAGGAGCACACTCTTAAAGGGAGTTTTTCTGGAGAAAAAAAATCTCAATTTGTCTGTCATAGTTGACGTGTACCTATGATGAAAATTACAGGCCTCTCTCATCTTTTTAAGTGGGAGAACTTGCACAATTGGTGGCTGACTAAATACTTTTTTCCCCCACTGTATATTTAGGCTAGTTACATTAACAGTAAACCAACGCTGTAAACGAAAGACGAATGGAGATCCTAATAACCAAAACGTAGCCTACAGCGAGATGCAGCCATGCACAGCTGTCTTGCCAAACAAATAGGCCTATATAGGCCTGCTTCAGCAACATGTTGTTATATGGCACGTTTCCAATACGTACAGTTCCATTTACAACCACGAAAACAAATAGTGTGCCAAGAATAACATAATAGAATTAATCTATTTCTATGATGAAACATAACGATGTTCATCTACGGCCCAGGGGCGTCATTTGGGTTCTTGCATTGGAATTATATTGAATTCTGCTTATATCACGCTTATACCACAATAAACATAAAAGTTCAAATGCTAATGATCAAGAAGTGACAGGTTCAATAGTGTGAAATCTCCATGCCACAGCACCCTACACACTAAAGCAATATTTTGATAAAAAACCAACCAGCTAGATTGTTTCTTACCTTTTCAGAAGAGTTGCAGCATCCGTGATGCTCTCCCTGAAATCCTCTTGTAAGATCCCCCGTCAGATGCCAGTTGGATTAGTTGAGCTACCCAGCTTGGGTGAAGCCTTGTCTGCGTTAGCATTGGACTCAAAACAGAACTTTCGACATGGGAAACAAAATGCTGCATCTGCAGTAACCGAGAATTCCAGCGGCTGCCTCGATGGCTCATCACTCTCCTTCTCATTTTGGCTTTGTTTGGGTACTTTGGCGGAGCCAATTTCTGATATCCATCATGGCAGTGGCAGATTAGCTGGTTCGAGCTAGATAAATAGGCTAAAGCTAATAACACTAATGCTTTTTACAGCTGGCTAAGAAGCTAACTAAACTCTGGAGTGGTGGGGCGTGAGGCAGAGTTGGGTGAAACAGCTTCAACGGTATACTTGACCCCCGTCTTTATAAATCAAAATAAAATATTACAGGCAGAGTCATACCACATTATTCACTTAGCCTACCAAAGATGAGAAGTGTTTTTTCCCCGCTTTTTATGGAAACCCAAAGGAGTCATACCTAACCACCTCAGTGGCTTTCCATAGCCCCCCTACACACACCGTGGCACGCTCTTCCATTGTGCTGACACAGCGCAGCGGAGATTCCGATTTTGCGGCAACCTGTCACTCAATCATTAAAAAAATTAGCTGCCGAAATAGTCGCAACCCCTATTACTAGCCTGTTCAACCTCTCTTTCGTAACGTCTGAGATCCCCAGAGATTGGAAAGCTGCCACGGTCATCCCCCTCTTCAAAGGGGGTGACACTCTAGATCCAAACTGTGACAGACCTATATCCATCCTGCCCTGCCTTTCGAAAGTATTTGAAAGCCAAGTTAACAAACAGATCACCGACCATTTCGAATCCCACCGTACCTTCTCTGCTATGCAATCCAGTTTCCGAGCTGGTCATGGGTGCACCTCAGCCACGCTCAAGGTCCTAAACGATATTATAACCGCGATCGATAAAAGACAGTACTGCGCAGCCGTCTTCATCGACCTGGCCAAGGCTTTAGACTCTGTCAACCACCGCATTCTTATTGGCAGACTAAATAGCCTTGGTTTCTCAAATGACTGCCTCGCCTGGTTGACCAACTACTTCTCAGATAGAGTTCAATGTGTCAAATTGGAGGACATGTTGTCTGGACCTCTGGCAGTCTCTATGGGGGTGCCACAGGGTTCAATTCTCAGGCCGACTCTATTTTCTGTGTATATCAATGATGTCGCTCTTGCTGCTGGTGATGCTCGGATCCACCTCTATGCGGACGACACCATTTTGTATACATCTGGCCCTTCATTGGACACTGTGTTAACAAACCTCCAAACGAGCTTCAACGCCATACAACACTCCTTCCGTAGCCTCCAACTGCTCTTAAACACTAGTAAAACTAAATGCATGCTCTTCAACCGAATGCTGCTTGCACCCGCCCACCCGACTAGAATCACTACTCTCGACGGGTCTGACCTAGAGTATGTGGACAACTACAAATACCTAGGTGTCTGGTTAGACTGTAAACTCTCCTTCCAGGCTCACATTAAGCATCTCCAATCAAAAGTTAGATCTAGAATCGGCTTCCTATTTCGCAACAAAGCCTCCTTCACTCATGCTGCCAAACATGCCCTCGTAAAACTGACTATCCTACCGATCAGGGGAGAGAGAGAGAGAGAGAGAGGAGAGAGAGAGAGAGAGAGAGAGAGAGAGAGAGAGAGAGAGAGAGAGAGAGAAAAAAAAAATTGTAGAGAGAATTACATTATGACAACACGTTCTATGTTCTAAGTTCTATGTCTAATGTTCTGTTGTGCAGGTCGAATCGAGAATGCCAGATAGACCAGCATCACCGCAACCAGTGCCAATACTGCCGTCTGAAGAAATGCTTCCGTGTTGGTATGCGCAAAGAAGGTAACTGTCCTATTTTACCTATTGCACAACATCTCTGCAAGTCAGAATATGCCTAAAGCAGAGACCTATCCAAATGTTCCATATATCATAACTGACTGCATCAAGATCGTTTTTTCAAAAACATGCCCCTGCCATTATAAACAGAGCTGACATTTCACAACTCTGTCAGTTGGCCAAAATATTTACATATTTACACTGTAAACTACATCAAGCTCAATTTTAAAATCCCTAAAGCTATTGTAAGGTGTTAATGGGTGAGGAAAACTGTCTCAGAGTTTCATATACAGTTGAAGTCGGAAGTTTACATACACTAAGGTTGGAGTCATTAAAACTCGTTTTTCAACCACTCCACACATTTCTTGTTAACAAACTATAGTTTTGGAAAGTCGGTTAGGACATCTACTTTGTGCATGACACAAGTAATTTTTCCAACAATTGTTTACAGACAGATTATTTCACTTATAATTCACTGTATCACAATTCCAGTGGGTCAGAAGTTTACATACACTAAGTTGACTGTGCCTTTAAACAGCTTGGAAAATTCCAGAAAATGATGTCATGGCTTTAGAAGCTTCTGATAGGCTAATTGACATAATTTGAGTCAATTGGAGGTGTACCTGTGGATGTATTTCAAGGCCTACCTTCAAACTCAGTGCCTCTTTGCTTGACATCATGGGAATATCAATTGTAGACCTCCACAAGTCTGGTTCATTCTTGGGAGCAATTTCCAAACACCTGAAGGTACCGCGTTCATCTGTACAAACAATAGTACGCAAGTATAAACACTATGGGACCACGCAGCTGTCATACCGCTCAGAAAGGAGACGCGTTCTGTCTCCTAGAGATGAACGTACTTTGGTGCGAAAAGTGCAAATCAATCCCAGAACAACAGCAAAGGACCTTGTGGAGATGCTGGAGGAAACAGGTACAAAGTATCTATATCCACAGTAAAACGAGTCCTATATCGAAATAACCTGAAAGGCCGCTCAGCAAGGAATAAGCCACTGCTCCAAAACTGCCATAAAAAAGACAGACTACGGTTTGCAACTGCACATGGGGACAAAGATCGTACTTTTTGGAGAAATGTCCTCTGGTCTGATGAAACAAAAATAGAACTGTTTGGCCATAATGACCATTGTTATGTTTGGAGGTTAAAGGGGGCTGCTTGCAAGCCGAAGAACACCATCCCAACTGTGAAGCACGGGGTTGGCAGCATCATGCTGTGGGGGTGCTTTGCTGCAGGAGGAACTGGTGCACTTCACAAAATAGATGGCATCATGAGGAAGGAAAATTATGTGGATATATTGAAGCAACATCTCAAGACATCAGTCAGGAAGTTAAAGCTTGGTCGCAAATGGTCTTCCAAATGGACAATGACCCCAAGCATACTTCCAAAGTTGTGGCAAAATGGCTTAAGGACAACAAAGTCAAGGTATTGGAGTGGCCATCACAAAGCCCTGACCTCAATCCTATAGAACATTTGTGGGCAGAACTGAAAAAGCGTGTGCGAGCAAGGAGGCCAACAAACCTGACTCAGATACACCAGCTTTGTCAGGAGGAATGGGCCAAAATTCACCCAACTTATTGTGAGAAGCTTGTGGAAGGCTACCTGAAACGTTTGACCCAAGTTAAACAATTTAAAGGCAATGCTACCAAATGCTAATTGAGTGTATGTAAACTTCTGACCCACTGGGAATGTGATGAAAGTAATAAAAGCTGAAATATATCATTCTCTCTACTATTATTCTGACATTTCACATTCTTAAAATAAAGTGGTGATCCTAACTGACCTAAGACAGGGAATTTTTACTAGGATTAAATGTCAGGAATTGTGAAAAACTGAGTTTAAATGTATTTGGCTAAGGTGTATGGAAACTTCCGACTTCAACTGTAAATGCAAACATGTTTTATACTTAATTCATGTAGCATAGTATTTGTAAACCAGTTTAGCTCTATCCTTCTTTGCCCTCTCTCTAACCAACATATTCTTGACCCCTAGTCTCTAAGTACCTCCACTACGTAGTACGTATCATTCAGGGCTAGGCGGCAGAGGCATTTCCCAGGCAGTGTGAAGGTTAAATAACCGAGCCAGCCACCCTAGCTGTCATGTGTATTCTGCTTTGAGCTGACACCAGTCCAGAGCTATATTCAGCAGGGATATTCATGCAGGGGTCTGAGTGACCCAACAACAGCACTGACGCAGCCAGGCCACAGTGTTTCCACATTACCTGGAAACGCTTGGATCACCTTCGCCGGTTGACGGATCCAGCTTGAGGTGTCAATAAATAAAATACTTCCCCCTCCCCAACGATAAAAGTATTTTGACACGACCCTCCCCTTGTACTGAAAAGAACATTGGACACCCTCCCCGTCCTCCCTCACAATAGTGTTTACAGCCACAAATACATTACATTACCAAAGGTATGTGGACACCTGCTAGTCGAACATCTCATTCCAAAATCATGAGCATTAATATGGAGTTGGTCCCCCCTTTGCTGCTATAACAGCCTCCACTCTTCTGGGAAGGCTTTCCACTAGATGTTGGAACATTGCTGCAGGGATTTGTTTCCATTCAGCCACAAGAGCGTTAGTGAGGTCGAGCACTGATGTTGGGCGATTAGGCCTGGTTCGCAGTCGGTGTTCCAATTCATCCCAAAGGTGTTCGATGGGGTTGAGGTCAGGGCTCTGTGCAGGCCAGTCAAGTTCTTCCACACCGATCTCAACAAACCATTTCTGTATGGACCTCGCTTTGTGCACGGGGGCATTGTCATGCTGAAACAGGAAAGGGCCTTTCCCAAACTGTTGCCACAAAGTTGGAAGCACAGAAATGTTTAGAATGTCATTGTATGCTGTAGAGTTAAGATTTCCCTTCACTAGAACTAAGGGGCCTAGCCCGAACCATGAAAAACAGCTCCAGACCACTATTCCTCTTCCACCAAGGAATGCCGAGTGTTGCAACCGAGGACAGACGATTTTTACGTGCTACGCGCTTCAGCACTCGGCATTCCCATTCTGTGAGCTTGTGTGGCCTACCACTTCGCGGCTGAGCCGTTGTTGCTCCTAGAGGTTTCCACTTCACAATAACAGCACTTACAGTTGACCAGGGCAGCTCTAGCAGGGCAGAAATTTGACGAACTGAAAGGTGGCATCCTATGACGGTGCCACGTCGAAAGTCACTGAGCTCTTCAGTAAGGCCATTCTACTGCCAATGTTTGTCTATAGAGATTGCATGGCGGTGTGCTCGATTTTATACACCTGCCAGCAGCTGGTGTGGCTGAAATAGCCGAATCCACTCATTTGAAGGGGTGTCCACATACTGTACTTTTGTATATATAGTGTAACTATAGCTACCCTGTTTATAAATATGGATATCGACTTTGACACTTCAGCATGCGCCATGCAGGCTACGGGCCAGAAGGTTCAGGGTTCACCGAGCACCACGGACGAGCTAACTCTCCTTGCATGTTTCATTAGACACTACGATCAGAGGTGCTAGGTCAGCGTTTCCCAAGCTCGATCAGAGGTGCTAGGTCAGCGTTTCCCAAGCTCGGTCCTTGGAACCCCAAAGGGTGCACGTTTGTTTTTTGCCCTAACACCACACAGCCGATTTAAATTATCAGAGCTTGATGATTAGTTGATTATTTGAATCAGCTGTGTAGTGTTAGGGCAAAAACCAAAATATGCACCCAGCGGGCCCCCAGGACTGAGTATGGGAAACGCTGGGCTAGACGTCTGCAGCTCTGTCGGCACATCTTTCTTCTTGCAAGAAAACCCTGAGCTAGGTGGAAATCCGATTTTCAACAGTTTGATGCTATATTTACAAATCTATAAAATATATGCAACAAATGTTCCACCAATGCACCACAACCAATAAGCAAAGCATACCAACTTCGGGCGCTTCAACACCACATTCAGCACAGTTTGGTTGCTGGAATTATATTTTGGATGAACATGTGCAGGTAGCCTACAGGGTAATTTAAAAAAATAGCCTAATCAGATTAAAACATTGTGAGTGGTTGTGTTTATGCCACACAAATATTTATTTTTACATTTTAGTCATTTTAGCAGACGCTCTTATCCAGAGCGACTTACAGTTAGTGAGTGCATACATTATTTTATTTTTCATACTGGCCCCCCGTGGGAATTGAACCCACAACCCTGGCGTTGCAAACGCCATGCTCTACCAACTGAGCTACATCCCTGGGAGCGTGATGATCCGCAACAGACAGCACATCTCAGTACGTCTCTCTAGACCTGTAGTAGACCCACAACTGATCCAAATGAAATGAATGGAAGGAAATATTCAAATTACAGGGCTTTTGCGCCGTTATTCAAATGACATTTTCAATGCAGTTTACAGCCTAAAGTAGAATTTTGTACTCACTTGAAAACCATCATGCAATTATTTGTTGCAAGGCCAGTCTAGGTAGGATAGTTGTATTGTCCCTAAACAAGATCATTAGGGGAGCTTTTTGAGCTGCGTGTCTCATGTCTTCACTGTTCTTTCATGGCCAATGATGCACCTGGCCTCTCTGCTTATATTGAAAATGTGTGCAGCTTTTAATGATTTTATGTGTGGTATGATTGCTAGTTAGCATATTATAGATCTGGACAAACAATCCACCTACCACTATTGTCACTATGAATGGTGGATAGAGGGCAGGATAGCAGTTAGACTAGACTATATTGACCTGGTGGTGTAGTAAAAGTTAGGGCGGGGAAAAACATAAGGGAAGTACCAAAACACCTTGATATAGGGGAGGCGCATGCAAGCAGATGAGAAAATGTGTCTAGGGTGGAAGAAATGGTGATCTAGTAAAACCTGCAGAAGATTCAATGTAAACCAGGGAAAAATTCACTCCCCTCCCCAAATCAACAAAACAAAGTGAAACAACCCTCCCCAAAGCAACAAAACAAAGTGGAACAACCCTCCCCAAAGCAACAAAACAAAGTGGAACAACCCTCCCCAAAGCAAAACAAAAGTGAAACAACCCTCCCCAAAACCCTCCCCTATTTTATTTTAGCCTCTATAACCTCTACAATGCCCTTTCTCTCCCCCTCTCCTCCATCTCTCTCTCCCTCCAGCAGTCCAGCGTGGACGCATCCCTCCGTCCCACTCAGGCATCAGTCCCACTTCTCTGGTCGGCGGAGGAGGCGGTACTGGGGCCGGGCCAGTAGGGGGCGAATTCTTCAATGGCCAGCCTGTGTCTGAGCTCATCTCCCAGCTGCTCCGTGCCGAACCCTACCCCAGCAGCCGCTACGCCCCCCAGTACGGCCAGCAGCAGCAGATGCAAGGCGCTGGAGGAGGCTCCGTCATGGGCATCGACAACATCTGCGAGCTGGCGGCGCGCCTCCTCTTCAGCACCATCGAGTGGGCCAGGAACATCCCTTACTTCCCTGAGCTGCCCGTCTCTGAGCAGGTGGCTCTGCTGAGGCTGAGCTGGAGCGAGCTGTTCATCCTGAATGCAGCCCAGTCTGCCCTGCCGCTACACATGGCTCCTCTGCTGGCCGCCGCCGGCTTCCACTCCTCGCCCATGTCAGCAGAGAGGGTGGTGTCCTTCATGGACCAGGTGAGGGTGTTCCAGGACCAGGTGGACAAGCTGACCCGGCTTCAGGTGGACTCAGCAGAGTACAGCTGCCTCAAGGCCATCTCCCTCTTGTCTCCAGGTCAGTGTACTGGTTGGTCATCACTCAAAGGCCCAAACCAAAACCCCTATACAGACACTGGGAGATGAATTCACCTTTTAGCAGGACAATAACCTAAAACACAAGGCCAAATCTACACTTGAGTTGTTTACCAAGAAGACAGTGAATGTTCCTGAGTGGCCGAGTTACAGTTTTGACTTAAATCTGCTTGAAAATCAATGGCAAGACCTGGAAATGGTTGTCTAGTGATTATCAAAAAACTATTTGACAGAGCTTGAAGAAGGTTGAAAAGAATAATGAGCAAATGTTGCACAATCCAGATTTGGAAAGCTCTTAGACTTACCCAGAAAGACTCACAGTTGTAATCTCTGCCAAAGGTGATTCTAACATGTATTGACGCAGTGGTTTGAATATTTATCTAATCAAGATATATTAGTGTTTTATTTGTCATGATTTCTTTTTTTCCAAATGTCAGAATTTTTCTTCCACGTTAGAGTATTTTGTGTAGATAGTTGACAAGAAATGACAATTAAATCAATTTTAATCCCACTTTGTAACAACAACATTTGGAAAAAATCAGGGGGTGTGAATACTTCCTGAAGACGCTCAGATTAGAAAGAGATAATACGGGAGGAAGTGGGATACAGGCCCAGGCTCACAGCTTTGGAAGGAGTGTTCCTTTTACTCCCACTAGTATTTAAATCTAAACTAAATGAGTCATGCAGATTCTAAGGTCAGTCTGTAGGTCAACATTTCTCATATGAACAGCCTTTTAAAGCATTGTAGCTCTGTCCATATGAGAAATATTGACCTACACCTCTGCAATAGCACAACTAATCTTTCAATCAGTCTCATTGATCTCAAGTCATTATATTCTCCTGCCTGCGTTCTGCACTATAGCACTGACCATTGTTGAACTTCTGATTTACTTTAAATCCATGCTTACATCTGTCTGTCTGTGTCTGTGTGTGTGTTAAATCCATGCTTACGTCTGTCTGTCTGTGTCTGTGTGTGTGTCCGCTGTTGTCCTCTTCAGATGCGTGCGGGCTGACAGACCCCGTCCACGTGGAGTCTCTGCAGGAGAAGGCCCAGGTGGCTCTGATGGAGTACGAGAGGATGCAGTATCCGGGTCAGCCCCAGCGCTTCGGCCGTCTGCTCCTCCGCCTGCCTGCCCTCAGGGCCGTGCCAGCTAACCTCATCTCCCAGCTGTTCTTTATGCGCCTGGTTGGCAAGACGCCCATCGAGACCCTCATCAGGGACATGCAGCTGTCTGGGAGCTCCATTAGCTGGCCCTACGTCCCAGGGCAGTGAGGACAGGAGGCTGGGGGACACAGGACCCTGGAGGAACCTACGTCCCTGGGCAGTGAGGACAGGAGGCTGGGACACACAGGACCCTGGAGGAACCTACGTCCCTGGGCAGTGAGGACAGGAGGCTGGGACACACAGGACCCTGGAGGAACCTACGTCCCTGGGCAGTGAGGACAGGAGGCTGGGACACACAGGACCCTGGAGGAACCTACGTCCCTGGGCAGTGAGGACAGGAGGCTGGGACACACAGGACCCTGGAGGAACCTACGTCCCTGGGCAGTGAGGACAGGAGGCTGGGACACACAGGACCCTGGAGGAACCTACGTCCCTGGGCAGTGAGGACAGGAGGCTGGGACAAACAGGACCCTGGAGGAACCTGGAACCTAGAATGAGATGGAGAGGGATTAGCCAGTGATGTCATAAATGTCTACATTCTTGAGGACGTAGTACTTTATTGCTACTCACTCACAGAGAGTCACACATTGAGCTTCCAGTGAATGCAGCTGGAACCAAACCATTGGTAGTTTAGCTGTCCCGTGTGTATTCCAAGGAAATGATACATTTGTCTTGACCTCTCTATATGACCTCCCTACCACAGAACAGGGCTCTGGAACACAGAACAGGGCTCTGGAACACAGAACAGTGCTCTGAAACACAGAACAGGGCTCTGGAACACAGAACAGTGCTCTGAAACACAGAACAGGGCTCTGAAACACAGAACTGGGCTCTGGAACACAGAACTGGGCTCTGGAACACAGAACAACGCTCTGAAACACAGAACAGGGCTCTGGAACACAGAACTGGGCTCTGGAACACATAACTGGGCTCTGAAACACAGAACTGGGCTCTGAAACACAGACCTGGGCTCTGAAACACAGAACTGGGCTCTGAAACACAGAACAGGGCTCTGAAACACAGAACAGGGCTCTGGAACACAGAACTGGGCTCTGGAACACAGAACTGGGCTCTGAAACACTGACCTGGGCTCTGAAACACAGAACAGGGCTCTGAAACACAGAACAGGGCTCTGGAACACAGAACTGGGCTCGGGAACACAGACTGTAACTAAAGGCCCAGTGCCACTACTACCTCCATCCCCATGACCCCCAACGTGACCCTGTCTGACCCCAGGCTCTGTGTGGCTCTCTGGCTGCTGTGTTAGGCCCCTGGATCTCATATGGGACCCTATTCCCCATATTGCATAGGGCTCTGGTATACAAAAGTAGTGCACTATAAAGGGAATAGGGTGTGATTTGAGATTCAGCCATAAGGATTATGATGCCACAGTCATGCCACATACTGCCATTGTATGCTGTTTTGTCCTGAGCCCTGTATGTAAATCGTTGGGTTTGATTTACATTCATGTTGAGCTTATAGTGGAAAATGTAATGTATACATTATGCATATGTGGTCATGTAAATCTTTGATTGTTATGCAAATACAGGGCTCTCCCCATAGTATAAGCAATAGCATAAATGCTACAGTACATGCTATGGTGCCGAACACTGGCACAAGCTAGCAGAGGTGAATGTATATGATAGATAACCCCTCACACACATCCTGAGTCCAACGAGTCACCCGTCTTATACATTATTACCTCAAGTTTTATACCAATGACAGAGCTTGAATAGTGGATTACCTGATCATAGAACCCTTGTATTCTTAAACGGAACTAAGAACCCTCCACGATGTGATCGATGACAAACACAAAGGGATCAAAGCATCGTACACACCAGCATTATTTCATTAGCCTGAAAGTAAACTAACTGTAGGGTCGACCCTTGTCATAAGGCCTATTGGAAGGCTAGGTGGAGCCATGACCATATTGCTTAGACCTATCCAGTTCCTTCAGATCTGGAACACTGAAGGGTAGGGGCTAGGGGAAAGGGGTTGCTTTCGGATCAGACATTTCATGTGATCGTCATACAATGTAACTAAAGGTACTGACCCCTTTAAGGACTAAAGGGTATGCAGTGTATTGACAGTTACACTATGGTACAGTGTACAAGGTTATGTGCATACTCTTAGCGATATTGCCCTGGACTGCAATACGATGTGACTATGCTTTATTTTAGCCAAATGACTTACTCAGAGTGGACATATGAATACTGAAATCCAATAATCTGTTTTACTCTGATGGGATTTTGACTAGCGACTTGTGTAGTTCTACATAAGAATCAAAATGTAAAGAAAATTGCTATTGCTGACCTTGGTTATTTTTGCATTACTATAAATAAAGTACCTTACTGTGGTTGATTTGACATTGCTTTCAGTTAGTGACTGATAGACAGACCATCAACAAAGCAGGACAACAGGTATCATTAAAATGGTATTGCTGTGTTAATAGTGGCATAACTGCTTTAATACCAGGGGTTGGAACCAGTTCAGTGAACAGAATCAGAACCGGGAACCTAAGTTATCTATGCTGTTCCGGAACTGAACTGTTATTTTAAAAGCATGGGAACCGGTTAACCTTTTACTGCAGTGGGCTAAATCAGGGTCACACGGAGTGTTTCTTGGTAGTCTTAAACAAATCTACCTAGAAACAAAAGTATACACCTCACACACATGGTTATGGGCTTAAAAAAACAATGACACCTACACCATGTCAGATATAGAGTTGAAATGTATTCCATTTTGAGTTTGCATCCCAATAGTACACTTTATATGCACATCACAGAAGACTGCAATATAACAAAACCGTTTGACATAGAAACACTGGATTTTAGGCAGCTTTTTAAAAATTATGTTTATTAATTATGAAAAATATGAACAACATTTCACCCATGAGGCCACTAGATCATTTGACTGCAGGAAAGGGCTACTAACGTTATTTTACGTTCTGGCCTTTTTTCCACCGCCTATGCTAAGCCCTCACTCTGCCTGCCAGCTCAACATCTTTGCCAATGTGTGTGAGTGTCGGCTACCTGCCCCTCCCCCTCCGAAGCATAGGCTACTGTAGCCCCCCCCCCTCCAAAGCATAGTCTACTGTAGCCCCTCCCCCTCCGAAGCATAGTCTACTGTAGCCCCTCCCCCTCCGAAGCATAGTCTACTGTAGCCCCTCCCCCTCCGAAGCATAGTCTACTGTAGCCCCTCCCCCTCCGAAGCATAGTCTACTGTAGCCCCCCGAAGCAAGTCTACTGTAGCCCCTCCCCCTCCGTGACATAGTCTACTGTAGCCCTCCCCCTCCGAAACTTAGTCTACTGTAGCCCCTCCCCCTCCACGGCATAGGCTACTGTAGCCCCTCCCCCTCCAAAACTTAGTCTACTATAGCCCCTCCCCCTCCGAAGCATGATCTATTGTATCCTACTGACGTTACAAGCGTGATTCAGAAATTAGGGAGAGAGATTTTTAATTAGAGAAGAATGGTTTGACTTTTTCAATGCTAGTTAAGGATACTATAGTTATCACGCTTCACATTGGATTTATTAACTGTAAAAAGGTAAGACTTGTTTTATTTTAATTCTGGTGCCTCTCTGCACACACAAGCTTGTTAGCTAGCTAGCTCTGGTCCAACGTTAAGCCAACTCTCTGAAGTTCAAAGACATTCAAAGTTCCTTCATAGTAGCCGCTCCTCCGTAGGTATAATTCTGTGGGCCTACAGTGTCTTCAGAAAGTATTCACACCCCCCTTGTTCTTTTCCACATTTTGTTGTGTTACAGCCTGAATTTAAAATCGATTAAATGTAGATTTTGTGTCACTGATCTACACACAATACCCCATAATGTCAAAGTGGAATTATGTTAAAATATATATATATATATATATATATATGAAAAGCTGAAATGTCTTGAGTCAATAAGTATTCAACCCCTTTGTTATGGAAAGCCTAAATAACTTCAGGAATAAAAATGTGCCTAACAAGTCAGATAATAAATTGCATGGATTAACTCTGTTTGCAATCATGGTGTTTAACATGATTTTTTGACATGACTACCGCATCTCTGTACCCCACACATACAACTATCTGTAAGGTCCTTCAATCAAGCAGTGAATTTCAAGCAGATTCAACAACAAAGACCAGGGAGGTTTTCCAATGCTTCTCAAAGAAGGGCACCTATTGGTAGATGGTTAAAAAAAAAAGCAGACATTGAACATCTCTTTGAGCATGGTGAGGTTATTACACTTTGGATGGTGTATCAATACACCCAGTCACTACAAAGATGCAGGCGTCCTTCCTAACTCAGTTGATGGAGAGGAAGGAAACCGCTCAGGGATTTCACCATGAGGCCAATGGTGATTTTAAACCAGTTACAGAGTTAAATGGCTGTGACAGGAGAAAACTGAGGATGGATCAACAACATTGTAGTTACTCCACAATACTAACCTAAATGACATAGTGAAAAGAAGGAAGCCTGTACAGAATACAAATATTCTAAAACATGCATCCTATTTGCACTAAAGTAATACTGCAAAAAATTTGGCAAAGCAATACAATTTTGTCCTGAATACAAAGTGTTATGTTTGGGGCAAACCCAATACAACACATTACTGAGTACCACTCTCCATATTTTCAAACATAGTGGTGGCTGCATCATGTTATGGGTATGCTTGTCATCGTTAAGGATAAAAAGGAAACAGAATAGAGCTAAGCACATCCAGAATCCTAGAGGAAAACCTGGTTCAGTCTGCTTTCCACCAGACACTGGGAGACGAATTCACCTTTCAGCAGGACAATAACCTAAAAGGACAAATCTACACTGGAGTTACTTACCAAGACGACATTGAATGTACCTGAGTGGCCTAGTTACAGTTTTCAATTAAATCGGTTTGAAAATCTATGGCAAGACTTGAAAATGGCTGTATACCAAGGATTGATGCAGGAGGATGAATTTCAGTTTATTTTTCTGTCTTTAATGAATATGTATGTAAATGTTAATTGAATGGATTTAAATGCCAGGCTGTAAGGAAGCAAAAAATTGGCTAAGAGGGTGGACACTTTTTACAAGCACTATCTCCCTCACACGGCTGATGACATTCAAACTGAT